AAAAAAAAAAACAGGCTGACTGCGCGTCGTTATATGGCAAATTCGATGTTAAAAATTTTCCTCGTCTAACCCCTACTAACTAGTAGTAGTGGCGATCAATGGTCGATCTCACAGGGAGTGTGGTATAAACCGTGATTTTATTATATTAATTAAAATATTAAAATAAAAATGGGGGGATTTGATTTAATACTAAACTACTAGCAAGACAAGAAAATAAACTAGAACTAGAAATAAATGATTAAAGTGCAAAGATGATGAATTGGGAATAACAAATAATCTAATGAATATGAGAATGAAATCGGTTCAGGTCGGTCTCACCCTCGATTGATGCTACCCGAATTGATGCTACCCGAATGAAACTAGTCCAATTGATGCACTTATCAAGTCTCACTCGTCTTCTAAAACTACCGGTCCTAATAGCAATAAGCTCTGCTACCCGAATTTTTTCTTAATTTTACTTAATCGAAACAGACTCTTCAATTAATTCTAACTAGCGAATAACTCGGAATAAGCTCTCCTAATTTAATTCGCTCGTTGCATTAAAATCTAGGAAAATAGACCGATCTAGACCACAAACACATAAGCCCGGTTAATGTAACGTATGTTGTGTTATCCCTAACAATGCACGACTGTTAGTTGCTACCAACGAATTAAGAACGACGACATTACGGATCGAAGCCTCAAATCTAGCAATTAATATGTAATTCCTAACTTAGGTGATCAAGCTAAATAAAAAATCACACATTGTGACATGAAACTAGAATAACACAAACAATTTCATACGACGAGTAAAACGAAATAAATTGCATTAATCGAGCATAGTCACCGAGGGTTCGACATCCCTAAAACCGAAATAAGTGTTTAGCTACACATAGCTAAATAATCCTTTTTCTTTTTAGTCCCAAACAAGTTGGGGTAGGCTATAGATGAAACTCAAGAGAACCAAAGGTGAGAGAAACACAAAAAGGGCTCAAAAAAAAAGGAAGAGATTGGAGCAAGAGAGAAAGGAGCAAAAGTCACGGTCCTGGCACGTTGATTGCTAGCCTCCAAGTGCTCCTATCCACCGCTAAATCCTTTGAGATATTGCAATCTTTAAGGTCTCTCTTAACCGACTCTTCCCAAGTGAGTTTATGCCGACCTCTACCTCTCTTTACATCATCGACCCGCTCTAGAACTCCCCTACGCACCGGTGCATCGAGAGGCCTCCGTTGGACATGTCCAAACCACCTCAGTCGATGTTGAACCAATTTTTCCTCAATTGGAGCCACCCCGACCCTATCTTGAATATCCTCATTTCGGATTTTATCCCTTCTTGTGTGCCCGCAAAACCAACGCAACATACCGGCAAAATTTCAAAAATGGTCCATTATGTTGGCTATTTTCCGAAAAAGGTCCATCATATAGGGTGTCATCAATAATGGTCCACTAAATTGTCACTTTTAATCAAAACTCGTACAAATGTCAATATAGTGGACTAAAAGTGATAATCAATTTTAGTCCACTATGTTGGCATTTGTACGAGTTTTGATTAAAAGTGACAATATAGTGGATCATTATTGATGACACCCTATATGATGGACTTTTTTCGAAAAATGGTCAACATAGTGGACTAAAAATGAAATTTAGCCCATCTTTGCTACACTTAGTTGTTGGACATGTTACCTTTTTGTAGGCCAACGTTCAGCACCGTATAGCATCGCCTGGCGAATCGCCGTTCTATAGAACTTACCTTTTAGCCTTTGTGGCACCCTCTTATCACAGAGAACGCCCGAAACTTGTCGCCATTTCAACCAACCGGCTGCAATTCTACGCCTAACATCTTCATCAATGTTGTCATCCTTTTGTAAAATCGATCTTAAATACCAAAAAGTCTCCTTCTTGACCGCCACGTACTTGTCCGTCAAGGCTAACGTCATCATCACAACTTGCCCGTCAAGGCTAAATAATCAAAGCAAAAATAATAATTCAGTTCTTCCCCAAATAAAATATTGCAAATAAAATAAATAAATTAAACTCCTTGTTCAAAGTGATCCACGACCAGATTTCTATTCAACAGATAGAAAAATTCTTCCATCCCTCCCAGCTCTCCGTTCACGTGAATAATAAGTCCCATATGACTCCTCAAGAATTAAGCGTCCACTCCAATGAGAATTCCTCTCACACGTACAAGTCTCCCCCAATGAGAATTAAGAGTCCCACTACAAAATGAACTCTTCAATTAATTACCCACATTTTGCTAAGGCAAAATTTTATCCCCGCAAACTATCGGTCAATGTAACAAATAATTGACTCCACGTCATTTTCTACATAACTGCCACCTCATAAATGCCACGTCACAAATAGACGTAATAACTGCAAAATAGACACAAAAACAAATATTGGTGTACGTCCGTTCACAAAATAATATACGTGAGAAACCTTGAATAATTCAATAAAATCAAATACTCAAATATATAATTAATTAAACCACAAAATAGTACAAGATTTCTCACGTATCACAGGCCATCGACTTGGCCGGGCCAGGTCATTAAATAGATGACCCTGACACGGCCCATTGAAAATCCGGTCCGGTCCTAGACCCATGGTCAACAGATTTGACCGGTCTGGGTCCATGCCAGGTCCGGGCCGGATCCAGCTGGCCGGGCGGATCTTGGCCATGTCTATTGGGAATAACTCAAGGAAGAATGATTCTCGACTTGAGGATTATTTTTAATTAGTGCTTGAGAAAGGTACGGGGTTTTTTCCACTAAGTGCAGACTGGGTCTAATAATACACATAAACATATAGCAAATTATGTGATTGGAACAAATAAATATGTCTATATTACATATATACAATCCAATACATTTTTATTCTCGTGAACTAAAATTATTTAAATGAGTTATAGTAATTAGAATACTAATAACTATTGTTTTTCGCATCCAATAGACCACTAATAAATAAAAATATCAAAATATTGATTGATTAATAAAAATAAATAATCTTGAAATAGAAATAAGTAATCTGCAAATGGAAGATTTGAAGATAAATAAAGAAGAGATAAGTAATTTGGTGATATGTTTTTAAATTTAAATGATCCCATTGTTGTTTTTTTATTAAATTAATAAATTTCGCATATATAAATAATGAAAACACAAAATTTTGAATTAAAAATTAATATGAAGATTTATATGTATTGACTAATTTATAACTAAAAAAATTGCAAAATGTTATTTTTTACAACTTATTTTTAAAAATTTTATATGTTAATTATCCTTTTTCTTTAGATATAGATGCAATAAAATATCTATGGCCCTGCTTGTTTTTCAGCTTTTTGTTCTCAAAAGAGCTTTTTCGTTCATCTAGCTGTTTGACTTTTTAATCAGCTAAAAAAAGTGTTTGGTGATTAGCTGTTGCAAATGACTTTTTGGGGTTCATCCGCCAAATTAAAAAACGCTGCTTTTAGCAACGTTCTGATTCAGCTTTTCATTGAATAAAAACTAAATGCCTTGGTTGCCCCTATTTTTCTCTACGCCCCATTAAAAGTTTTGGTTCATCCGTTTGTTTTTATTTTATTTAATTCTTTTTTTTATAATTGTAGATATTATATTTGACTCATATTTATATTTTTAATTAGTGTTGACTTTGTTTATATGGGTAAATTTATTTACTCGATTATGAAATATTTTATTTTATTATTATTTACATTTTTATCATATTGAAATCACTTTAATAAATATTTTAAATATTTCCTAAATAATTATAATTTCAACATAAAATAAAGTTGATGTCATTATAAGTAATTTTACATGTTAACCGCTAATTTTACCAAATACCTTTTTACAAACTGCTAACACGATCAGCTGGTCAAAACAGTTAATGTAACCCATTGGTCAAAACAGTTAATGCAATCCGCTAACAGCATACAGCTGATTACCACACAAGGTGTAAATGTTATGTCCTATATAACTGATATTTTACATAGTGATTGAGTATGACTATATGAAGTTAACAAAAGTAAATAATGTCGTTTTAAATTATGCAGATAAAATCAACGTGTAGACATTGAAATTTTAGTATTTTATTAATTAATGTCTATTTATTTTGGGACATAAATTCAGGATAAATTAGATATTTAATTAAAAAAGTAATTATTTCTTGTCCACCAAGTCAAATTTTAGGATAAGGAAAGAGACTATATAAAATCTTAGGATAAGGAAATAGATTATATCAAATCATGAAAGACCAATCAAGTTGAAGTCTTCTGCTCCAAGACTCTCTCTCTCCTGCACCTATAAATAGGGTTCTTCTCAATGCCACGAATCACACCTCATATCAAACACACCTCAAAATCAAACACATCTCAAAAATAAAAGTGTCAATTCAAGAGCTCTCAAGAACCCTCTTGAAGATTTGAAGAAATTCCCGAAGAACCGCCTGAAGTCCGTTGAATGAAAAAGAAGGCCAAGAAGAAGAAAAAGAGGCGGCGACTCTTCCCCAAGAAGTAAAAAGACGACTTCCATTCTATTCGTATTATATACTGAAAGCTTGGATTTGGATGATATTACATTTTTACCCTTTATGAATGAGAAACATGTTAGATTAAAACAAGTTCTACGTTCTGTTGTTTTGCATTAGATAGTGTGGGTCGTCATCGGGCGAACCGAAGATCATGCTATCAGTTACTCGCAAA